TGTGCTTGCCAGGTAAGCACTTATGCCACTGATCTATCTCCCTGGCTCATGTTTGAATTTTTATTAGAATAGTATGTCTTAGGGCCGGGGAGATTGCTCAGTGGAATAAGCGCTTCCCTGGCAAGCGCAAGGACCTGAGTTCAATCCCCAGTTCTGAAAAAAAAAAAAAAAAAAAAAAAGAATAGTATGTCTTAGATATTTCAGTTGGCAGCTTCATTAAATTTGAATTAATATTTCTTTTCTATAGGTTAATGACCTTTCAGAGGAAGAAGATGAAAAGCTGGAACATATAGAAGAACTTCCAGAAGAAGGTGCAGAAAAATCAAATGACATGCCAGAGGTTGTACAATTAAGGATGACTGAAAACATCTTGGAATCAAATAGTGTTATTGCATCAACAAGGTAAATACTTCAGCTGAATAGACTCTAGCTTTTAGGCATTTTTTTCTAGTGTCACTTAAGCACTGAACACAAATTATAGTTATATGTGAAAATTTGACATTTATGTATGAAAAAGAACAAGAAAATTTAAAGCAGCAGCCTTGGTAAAGAATTTTTTTTTATCTTAAGGAATGTTATTTATGTTACACCTTTCTTAAAAAATAAAGCCTCATAACATTTCTTAAAATTTTTTTTTATATTTGTTGAGCTGGGTAAAGTTTTAGAACCTTTGAAGGTAGAATTCTAGAGAAATTTACAGTGGTTGCATGACTTGATTTCCAACTTTTAGGCTATAGCTAAGTTGAAAAAATAGGAAGGATAGAGCTCTGATCTTTTAAAATAGTGCTTCGGAGCCCCGGGGAGATAGCTCAGTAGAATAAGCGCTTACCTGGCAAGTGCAGGGTCCTGAGTTCAATCCCCAGTACCGCAAAAAAAATTTAAAAAAAAAAAATGCTTCTGATCCTTTTCATGTATGAAAATATCGTTTGTATGTGGCATAATGGATAAATATGAAAAATATGATGGGCTGGAGGCACTCTCCCTTTTCAAAGCTGGCTTTTGTGAATACACTTTCAGAAAGCTTTAGAGAATTCAATTAACTCCCCATACGTATCTGAGTTTGCTAAATTCTGTGCTAATCTTCTGTAAACTCCATGGTTTTTTTAAATTTTTTTTAATTTATTTATTTATTTATTTAGTGTGTGTGTGTGTGTGTGTGTGTGTGTCCAGCTCAGCCCACCAGCGGGCGGGCTGACTGGCATGTGGTGCTGGGGGATTGAACCGTGGTCCCTGGACTTCGGGCTTCACTAAGCTTGTTCTAAGTATGTGCTTTAGACCACTGAGCCATCTCACCAGCCCCAACTCCATGGTTTATTAACATCTTTTCATTAGGAGGACAGGGCTGTAGATGTTTTTCATTAAATTTATGTTGATTAAATGGTGGTTTGACAGAAGAAATGATAATATAATGGTAATAGCTGAGGGAAAAGGAGAAGTATCAGTGTTACTTACAAAAATTATATGGTGATTTAAAATATATATTGATGAATATAACTAATACATTTCTCTGAGGGCTTTCTGATCTTTATGTGTATAGTTCTTTCAATAATATATTGTGTATTAATGTTTATTCACGCTTATGTAGTTTACATTTTGTTCTTTATTTTGTTGTTGGAGTATGTCTCAAATTACTGTTTACTGTTGCTGGGACAAAATATCCAACATCCAAAATTAAGGAAAGAAAGGTTTATTTAGCTCACAGTTATTGGAGGTTTTAGTCTGTACTCCGACAGCAGTTTATAGTGGCAGAAGACATTGAAGAGCAGAGGAGCAGCAGCTGTGGTATCAAGCTTCTCTCTTTCACGTGGACTGTGAAGACCGGAATTCCTCCAAGAAAGTGGTGATGGCTACTGCAAAGATCTGAACTTCTCTGAAGTGGCGCAGTTGCATCAGCCAAGCTCCTCCAAAGAAGTGGCACAGAAGTCTTCTTCTTCAACCTCTTTATATACCCTTTTTGTTCTAAGTCACTCTAGGGCAGGCTTTCCCCACCTGCCCTGCAGTGGGGCTGCCACACCCCAGGGCGTACTATCACCAAGCCCATCTGCCAAACTTTTGACATCTGAAGTTGACACAATGTCAACCACTACAGAGTGGGTTTTTTTTTTTTTTTCCTTTTTGTTTTTTGAGACAGGGTCTCACTATTTAGCGCAGGGTGGTCTTGAACTCAGTATGTAGTCCAGGCTGGCCTAGAATTCACAGCAGTCCTTTGCCTCAGCCTCCCAAGTGCTGAGATTACGGGCCTATGTCACCAAATCTGGCCTTTTGACTATATTTAAATTATACATTTGGGGAGTGTGGCTCAATGATAGAACAGTACCTCATTGAGGATTTCCTAGGCCTCACCTCTGAGATATTCCACTGCCTCACAGTAGCCTTTCTGTGGGCATCATGCCTTTCATGCTGGGACCTCTGGGTCTTCTGGACATTCAACATCCACACTGCAGGTTTAAACATTTTCATAAGAATTGAAGTTAGGTTCAAAATGTTTCTCTGGAAAGTTGCAAAGGGTGAAATTCGTGGAGTGTTGGCAGTAGTAACCTTGTGTGTGGTCTACTTGTGTTTATCTGTGGTGTATAGCACTATGTTGGTCAGAGGGTTCAGCAGTTCCCTGTGATCTTTGTATTGGAATTTTCAAAATTAGTAATTATATTAAGTGATTGCAAGGTTGATTTTATATTCTCAAGATTGTATGACTATAGGTACATTTTAAACTATAGAGTTAAATAGCAGAAAGGAGAAAAGAAAAAGGAATGATTCAGGTCTTTTAACATTATGACTATGTTCTTTATGGTTTATTGTCTTTTTAGTCTGTTTCTTTTTCTCTGGGGTTTAATAAATACATTTCTCTCTCTCTTTTTTTTTTTTTTTTTTTTCGGTACCAGGGATTGAACTCAGGACCCTGCACTTGCCAGGCAAGCACTTATTGTACTGAACTATCTCCCTGGCCCCAATAAACAGCATTTTTAGGTTTTTTCAAAATTTTATGTATTTGGTACAGGATCTCATTACATAGCTTGAACTCATAGTGATCTTCATGTTTCAGCCTCCCCAGTGCTGGAATTACAGGGGTGTGGTGGCCAGCTTAGGTCCTGAGCCTGGCTGGCACCACATGCGGTACCAAGAATGGAACCCAGATCCTTGTGTTTGTCTAGGCAGGTTTAGACCACTGAGCTATCTCTGCGACTCCCACAACTTTTTATATTATCTATGCTGTTTAACTGCAAATATATGGCTACATTGTTCAGTTTTGCTTTTACGTCCATTTGTGTGTATAGTGTGTGCTCCAGTATGAAGGCTTCTACTCATAGAATAAGGATACTCATAGTATAAAATCTGGAAGTAAAGAACAATTGAATTATCCGAAATTTGAAAACTTTGTTTGTTCTTTGTCCTTCAGAAGTTCAGACAACAAAGTTTTGTGGGTAGTCTTGCTGGTGACAGTCTGACTCTTATAAATGGTTGACTTTACTGTGACTTGGAAGGAGCCTTATTAGCCCTTAGCTCAGATCACAATCCTCAGGAAGGGATCCTTATTAAAAGGAACTGCTTAGATCCCAGCATATTTTTCAGGGCTACTAGCTTTACTGTTGCATTAATACTCTATCTTGCTCATTCCTCCTTTTATGTATACTTACAGTTTCCAGTGTCAGTTAAAAGGGGTAGAAAGCAAAAGGTGAACTACCTTTCCTGTCTGTCCAATTTAAATCTATCAGAACTTTTCTTTCTTCTAGTTTCTTTGACTGGGAATCTTACTAAATGTTAGTCTGCTGGATATAGATCTAACCAGTGTTTTTCAAACTTATTCTAAGGACTAAAAAAATACATTTTAAAGTTCTGAACACTGAAACCCAGGGCCTTTGCACGAGCTACATCCCTAACCCTTTTTATATTTTATGTTGGGACATAAGTTTTCTGGAGTCGCTAAATTACCCAGGCTAGACTTATAGCTGTGGCCCTTTATTCCTGGAAAACAGGAATTTTTTTTTTTTTTTAATTTTACTTAAGAATCATTAGTAAAAAAAAAAAAAAAAGAATCATTAGTGATGTTTATTGGGCTCTCCCTTAGAGGTATGATGGAAAGACTAAGGAATATGCCTTTACTTAAGGCTTTTTTTTCCCTTTTACATGTGGAATAAATTCCACATATAAATGTCCATGAAACATATTTATAGCAAACAGTACAAAGCAGATATCTATGTACTGTTTTCCACATCTAGAAATAAATATTGATGGAACCACAGTAGCTCTTAAAATCTTGGTGCTCCTCTTTCATGACTAAGATCATCATTATGTTGACTTTATGGTAATCATTTTCTTGGGTAAACATTCACGACAAATCAGAATTTGTGAGTATGATTGTGTGACTAATGAGAACAAACCTCTGTATATAAAATTTTAGCCCAGTTTCTTTCCCTCTGTCTGTCTCTCTGTCTCTGTGCAACAGGGTCTCACTATGTACTTTAGGCTGGCCTTGAATTCACTATGTAGTGTAAGTTGGCTTCAGACTCACAATGATCCTCCTGCCTCAGCCTGCTAAGTGCCGAAATCACAGATGTGGGCCACCACACATGAATAGTCCAGGTTTTTGGCTTTTTCCCCCTAAATATTGTATGTAGGGAATTTTCTATGTTCATTTTTTTTGCTGTGAATTACTTTGTTATATGATTATACCTCAGTTACCTATTTTACCGTTGGTGGATAATTGTTTTAACTTTTTGATTAATAGGACTGTCATAATATGTTTATATTGAATATATCTTAGTTTTGACCATTCTGAGTAATTTTGCTGTGTACTTTCTAGTATACAGCTTCTGACATCCATTTGCATGCATATAAAGACCTATATCTATTGTGTTCAGCTTTAGTAAATATTGCCAGATTATTTTCTAGCATGCCCATTTCAGTTTATAACCACACTAGCAGTATTAGGTTCCCATTGCTTTATGACTTTGCCAGTATTTCATAGGAAATAATCTGGTGCATATATATTACAATACTTGTTTTTGTTTTATGAGGCAGAGTTTGGCCGTGTAGTCCAAGCTGACCTTAATTCATGGCAATCTTGCTGCCTCAGCTTCCCAAGTGCTGGGATTATAAGTGTACACCACCATGCCCATATATTACGACATTTCATTCTCATTTTATGAAATAGTTCTTCCTTCTTTTTGTATATGTATTGGCTGGTTCCTTTTCTGAAATGTCTCTTTAAGTCTGCTGCCTATTTTCTGTTGAGTTGTATTTTTTTAAAAAAACTGTTTAACTCTTTACTCAGAAAGACTCCCACTCCCCCACCCCTGGTAGGCAAAAGCTTTGCCATTGATCTACACCCTCAAACTCTCCTAAAAATTTTTTATTGGGATAGAATCTTGCTAAGTTGCCCAGGTTGATTTTGAAATTGCCAT